AAATATTTTTTAGATTTGAAAATAATTTTAGGAACTAATGACTAGTATCCTCCACTAAATGTGATAAAGCAGAAACTGCACTGAATTTTTATTAAAATTTAATACAAGGATCTATGTGTGCATACACATATATGTATGTTGTGTGTGTGTGTGTGTGTGTGTGTGTTTAATATATTTCTGGCCTTGATGTGAGTTTGTATTAGCTGGTTTAAAAAGAAAGATTTATTTAGTTTATTCTTTTTCATAATATACACCAACCTTACTTGGATGAGGTTTCCTTTTGTTTAAAAGTCATAATTATAAAACTCAAAGTATAGAAGGCAAATATAGTCAGAGAGATGAAAGTGGATAGTGAAAAACAGTCCATTTGTTGAACATATGCAACTTTAGGAAAATGAGCCATGGTATATTGAGCCGAAATCTGCCTACGGTGCTATAAGTGTTACCCATTGGTTCTAGCCCTTCCCTAGGGCAACATATAATAGAAGTCTATAGCAACGTGATTAAGAGCACGGGCTCTGGGGTTAAACCATCTGTGTTTGAATCTTAACTCTGCTACTTAATAGTTTTATGATTTGTGGAAAATAATTTAACCTTTCTCTGTCTCTGTGCTTCATTTTTCACATTTGTAAAATGGAGGCAATTATGTTATCTAATTCCAAGTGTTGTTGTATGGATTAAATGAGTTGACTAAAGTGCTTAAAGCACAGTCTGGCACATAGTAAGCACTACATGAATGTTAGCAGTTGCAGCTATGCTATTATTATTATCACTACTACTGTCCCATATAGTAGTTCTTTAAATATCTAAATTTAATTATCCCACCTCGCATTAGTGTACTCATCTCCAGGAGAGCTGTTTCCTCACCCCTTCCTCTTTTGACATAGTTCTCAGATAGTTTGATCTTCCCGATTACTCTATTCTGGATGTCCTCAAGTGTACATATGCCCTTCTTTAAATAGAGTTCCCAGAACTGAATGCAGTATTTTGGTCTGGGGCCCTAATTTCTGTGCTTAGGAAACCACTGAGGTCAGAAGGGTGCTAAAATAAACACCCATTTAATCAATCAAGACTTTTACTGACTACTTAATACTCAGTATTGTGCTAGTTATTATGGGGACTGTGGAAGGAGAAGTCACATTGTGTGCAATCTAACAAAAATGACACAAAGAAAAGAAACCAATATAGGAGAGATGATGGAGATGTTTGAAAGGAAATAGTAAAGTTTTCTCTATTTTCCATTCCTACTGTTTGATTACATTATTTTACCAGCATGATTTAAGTAACTATCTGTGAAAATTGGCTTAATCTAGAAAATAAGATTACAAATGTCAATTAAAACATAATTCAATGCAAAATTAGGAAATCAGCTTTTATTTTCCCTAATTTCTGTGCCCAAAAGCCCTGCATACTCTAAGGGGAAAATCTATATTTTGAGTTGTAACTTAGTTTAATTTAAAATCATATATTTCTTACTTGGGAATATCTCAGTGCTGATGAAAGTCTAGCTCCTAACTCCAAGTTTTTTATTGTCCTGTCTCATTTTAGTCAGTGAATCAAGCAGAAAATCATGGAATCAAGAACACTTTGCTTTGACATTTCCCAAACCACCCCAGCCAAGTAGAAAAAAGAGATCAAGACCTTCAGAATCACAAGTCACAGTTCCTGTAAGTACTGAAATGATCATTTTTGAAACTAAATGTACATTGGCACAACATATATAAATATAAATAAGGCATATTTAATTTGGATTTTACCACCTGTTGGAAGTAGATTTTTTAAATTTATAATTCTCTGTACAACAGATAGCCCTCACCTGTTTCAGATAAACTTTTTTTTTTATTTCAACATATTATGGGGGTACAGATGTTTAGGTTACGTATGTTGCCCTTGCCCCCCCCAAGTCTGAGTTTCAAATATGTCCATCCTTCGTGTGGTGTGCATTGCACTCCTTGTGTATACAAATACCCGTCCCCTCCTCTCTCCTCCCCCCTCGCCCCTCCCCCCACCGCCTTCCCAACATCCAATAAATGTTATTCTTATATGTGCATTTATGTGTTGATTAGTTAATACCAATTTGATGGTGAGTACAAATGGATCCCGTTCTTCTGCTCTTGTGGTGCCCCACTTTGGATAATGGGCTGAAGTTTAATCCAGGAAAGTGTAAGAGGTGCTAGATCACTGTCGTTTCTTATGATTGAGTAATATTCCATTGTAAACATATACCAAATTTTGATAATCCACTCATGCCTTGATGGGCACTTGGGTTGTTTCCACATTCTTGCAATAGTGAATTGTGCTGCCATAAACATTCGGGTGCAGATGTCTTTATCGTAGAATGTTTTGTGCTCTTTTGCGTAGATGCCTAATAGTGCTATTGCTGGATCGAATGGTATTTCTATTTTTAGCTCTCTGAGGTACCTCCAAATTCGTTTCCACAGAGGTTTCAGATAAACTTTTATTTGTATGTGATTCTCCACATCAAAGACATGTAATAACTAATAGTCTATGCAAGCTGAAGAACCTAACTCTACAACTGGTGGGGTCTATCAGGAAATGTTTATCAGCTGCAAAAGCATCTAAACTTTGAATTGTATAGCAGGAGCTGATTTTGATCGGGTTTCAGGGCCTCCTCATTTTTTAAAGTCTGGAATTCAGAATACTTGTTATTAGGAGATTCAAGTTTTCTACTGCTTCTATAAAGTAGAGTTATCTTATCAATTAGCAAAAAGATAAATCAACATACATTGTGATATCAAAATATTTTTAAAGTGTCTCCCAAAACAAAGTTATATTCAATGCATTTATTCAAGGACCATTCATTATATCTATAGTGATCCAAGATTCATGCATCTCTTCAGTGTTGTCTTTTAATTCCATACTACCACTGATTGTTGGCACCTCTACTGAATAGTTAAATGAATTTAAGAAGTAAGTCTAAAATCAGTCTCTGTGGCTACTTATGAAAACCAGAGTCAACAAATGTTTGGGTAGAAGTTGAAAATAAATTACACATCTGCTATGCAAATTAATGTGGATCGAACATTTGTTTGTTTCATTTGAAACAACTTTCACTATCGGTTTAAGTCAGAATCCAAGAAAACAATGTAACAAGTGTTCTTGATTCCACGATTTTCTGCTTGATTCACCAAAATGATAGACAATAACCAATTTGGAGTTAATATCCAGACTTTCAACTTTTTGTCTTTGATTTTTTTCAATACAGTGGGGTATCAGGCTCTCAATTTGACCAGAAATCTTGAAAGCAGGATTAGCAATTGGGTTAGGGTTGAAGGCTATAATTATCAAAAAAATGTTATGACAAATTTCAAGGGGATGAATTTATTTCTGAGAGAACTTGAGGATGAAGGGTGTTTGTCCCAAAAGATATCTCCAAAACAGGGTTCCAAAAGGAACCGCCTACTGATTGTGAGAGCAAGTTCTGGAATGTCATGGATTATTGTGGACCTGCTCCAATCCCAATATGAATCATAAAAGGAATCCTAAAATTTCCCCTAAAGTCATTTCCTCTCTCTCTCTCTCTCTCTCTCTCTCTCACACACACACACACACACACACACACACACACACACACACACAATAACCTTGAAAGAGAGAAAAAAATTCTAATTTTAAATAGTCAAGGAAAAGAAAAACTATTTTATGTTGCAATATAAAAAGTTATAACTCATTCACAAATGCTTATCATTAATCTAATCGATCTTTTCAGAGGCATGACAAAAGAAAATTACAGGAAGGTCAGAAGCCAGCTCATATATGGATAAGGCATTCTTTAAGAAAATTTTTCCAAAGGCCATCTATTTACTTAGCTGTCAGGAGACAGGCTCCATACAGACATCCTTATACTCCCAAAACCAATCTTAAAAATACAAAATCAAAAACGTCCAAAGATGAAAAAGAGGGCATGGTTTTGAATAAAGATTCTGAGAAAAAAACAGGCCCACATGCAGCAAATCCAGACTCGAATAAAACAGCAAAAGATGAAAAAGAAGAGAAACCTAAAAGAAGTAAATCAGGTAAAACTCAATCAAAATCATCACATGAAAGTGAACTATCCAAGAAGTCAAAGTCAAAATCAGAAACAAATCCAGAATCCAAAGATTCTAAGGTAGTCCCAAAAGAGCATTCAAAAAAAGATAAGAAAGATTCGAAGAATTCCAAGGAGACAGACGCTGAACCCATATTTACAAAGAACAATCTAGAGAATGATTCTAAGAAGAGCTCGAAGAGTAATCATGATGCTAAATCAGAGGCTTGCTCAAAAAATAGTTCAAATGTGGATTTAATGATGTATTTAGAAGAGGCTGGAGCTGAATCCATGGATTTTGATACATGGGTAAAGAATTACTCCCAGAATAATTCAAAGAAGCCTGAAAAGAAGGATACAAAGAAAGATGCAAAGAAGAGCTCTGATGCTGAATCTGGAGACTCTAAGGATGCAAAGAAAGATTCAAAGAAGGATAAGAAAAGTAAAAAGAAAGATGACAAGAAAAAGGATGCAAAGAAGGTCACAGTCTCTACTGATTCTGAATCTGGAGACTCAACGGGTACAAAGAAAGATTCAAAGAAGGGTAAGAAAAGTGAAAAGAAAAATGACAAGAAAAGGGATGCAAAGAAGGACACAGTCTCTACTGATTCTGAATCTGGAGACTCAAAGGGTGCAAAGAAAGATTCAAAGAAGGATAAGAAAAATGGAAAGAAAGATGACAAGAAAAAGGATGCAAAGAAGGACATAGTCTCTACTGATTCTGAATCTGAATTGGAGTCAAAAAAGGGTAAAAAAGATGAAAAAAAGGAAAAGAAAGATTCAAAGAAAGGTGAAAAAAAGAAGTCTGTCAAGAAGGATGCAGGTTCTACTGATGCCGATTCTGAATCTGAAGGAGATGCAAAAAAAGGTAAAAAAGATGAAAAGAAGCAGAAGAAAGATACTAAAAAGGATGCAAAAAAGGGTGCAGAATCTACTGATACTGAATCTGATGTGGAGTTAAAGAAGTACAAGAAAGATCCAAAGAAGGAAAAGAAAGGATCAAAGAAAGATGCCAAGAAGGACACAGAGTCTAGTGATGCTGAATCGGATGCATCTTCCAAGACAGGCTTAAAAAAGGGCACAAAGGTCAAAGGTTCCGATGCTGAATCTGAAGAGTCACTATATACACCTGGCACTAAGAGGAGAGTTGATGAATCAGATGGCACATCTGCAGATTCAAAGAAAGAAAGTCCCGGACTGAAGAGAGGATTAAGAATGTCATCTAAAAAGACAACATTCAAAGAAAAAGGAAAAGAAACAACTACAGGTAGAGTTCCTCCATCAAGAGAAAGACCACCACTCCCACCTTGTGAGCCTTTACTACCATCACCTAAGGTCAAACGTCTTTGTCGGTGCAAGATGCCTCCTCCACCTCCAAAACCAAGATATGCTCCTTTGGTATGTTTACTATTTTATTTTTACACCAAAATAGATTTAAAATGAAAGATATTTTAAAAGTTTAAATTTATATTTTCTCCAAAGAATAGTTCTCTTTTACTGGAATATTGACAAATTTGGGACTTAAAGGTAAGTAAAATAAAGAGTGCTTCAAAAGGACTCTAAAGAATTGTGAAACATAATACTTTCCACAGAGGTTGTCCTAGTTTGCAGTCCCACCAGCAGTGTATGAGTGTTCCTATCTCTCTGCATCCACGTTAACATTTGTTGTGTTGGAACTTCTTGATAAAAGCCATTCTCACCATAGGTTTCATTTTTTGTTTCTCTTTCCCTGGCTTTGGTATCAACGTGATAAAGGCTTCATAGAAAGAGTTAGTGGGCATTCCTTCCTTCTTGATGTTATGGACCAATTTCAGTAGAATTGGTTTCACTTCTTCTTTATAGGTCTGGTAGAATTTGGCTGTGGATCCACCTAGGTTGGGGTTTCTTGTTTATTTTGTTGGGAGATTTTTTATTACTGCTTCAATCTCAACATTCATTATTGGTATTTTCAGGATTTCTGTTTCTTGCAGATTCAGGCTTGGGAGGTTGTGTGTTTCCTTAAATTTATCCATTTTATCTAATTTTTCTAGTTCATGTGTGCAGAGGTTTACATAGTAGTCATGGATACTATTTTGTATTTCTGTGTTATCAGTTTGGGCCTTAACACAACAGGGATTCTCTATAATTAATAAACAAATAAACTTTTACTTTTATTTTCATTTTTCTACTTTATTCTACAGCCCGAAGCCCAGTGGATTCATAAGCTGCTTTAAAGAACAACTGAGCGCTTGGTTTCACAGAATGGCCTTACCACAGTAAGCACTAGCTACTCTCAAATGAGCATTTCTACTTCTGTGGAACTGTAATAAATAAAAACAAGTCTTCCATGAGTATCAGGAGCTGTTTTTGCATATAATTTATAGAGATGATATATATATGTATAAATATATATAAATGTATTCTTTATTTATTCAATGTCTGAACTATTCAGACCAAAATAGTGTAGCATTTTACCCCATGTTCTGAAGCTTCAGTGTAGAAACTGTTCCTGAGTTTGGGTTAAAATGTAGCAACTTTCCTTTGGATGGCCTTATCATGTTTCTTTAAACTTCTTTTTAACTTAGCATTCATAAAAAGTAAACAGAAAATGGAAGGAAGAAACCAGATCTTCCACAATCTTAAAATACTCGGATAGGTGAAGAATGATAATGGGATTTTGATAGGGATTGCATTAATTCTGTAGATCACTTTAGGTAGTATGGACATTTTAACGATATTGATT